TACCATCTAAAAGAAATGGACAACTATCTCGAAATACATCACCTACTCAAATTACTGCAGAGAGATATTGAAAACATCTCAACAGACCTGTACCAACAGAAGAAATAGAGCAGATCCTTAAGAAACTCCCAATCAAGAAAAAGTCAAGGCAGGATGATTTCACAGGAGAAGTCTACTAAGTATTCAGAGATCTGACACCAATATTACACAAACTATTATCGAAAATAGAAAAAAGAAAAGAAACTCTTAAACTAATTCCATGAAACCAGCATAATGCTACTATCCGAACCAGGCAAAGGCCCCACAAAGACAGAAAATTATAGACCCGCATCCCTCATTACATACATATTAAAATCCCTAAAATGCAACAAGTAATACACCATGACCAAGTGGTATTCAACTCAGGGATGCAGGGATGGTTCAATATTTAAAAATAATCAATGTAATCCACCACATAAACAAGGCAAAGAATAAAAGTCACATGATCATATGTAAATATTCAGAAAAGAGATTATTCAACACCCATTTTCTACCAAAACAATGAACAAAATAGGAATAGTAGGGGAATTCCTTAACATTATTAATTTTTATAACTTTTTGTTGCATGATTTATCTATTAAGTTAAACTAGAAAACTAGAGTGATTCTGATTTATGGTAACACCACATGCGCAGACTAGAACTGACACCATTGAGTCCTCAATGCTGTGACCTGCCTTCTGTGGTGCCTCTGAGTAGGTGTAAAAGCCAATCATTTGGCTAGTGATCAAGTGTTAACGAATTATATTGCTCATGGGCCCCCATACATGGGAAAACACAATTATTGTACAGGAATTTATTTAGACATATTAAAAAATGAGTCTTTCTTCTTTCCATCCCCATAGAGAGTTTTTTAGGGTTTTGTATTCTTGTTGAGTTTTGTTTTTACTTGTAATGACATGTTATCTTCTCTTGAAAAAATGAGGCTATCAGACTGGGGATATTTATCTTTCAATATTGGTCAGAAGCAAAAATTAGTGCCTAATTGACATAATATGCATATCATTAGAGAGCATAATATTACTAAATTAAAAATAACTGCTTATAATAAATTCACATTCCAAAATTGGCACTTGGTAGACAGTATGTCATTGGAATAAAGGAAGGAGTTAAGTCATTTCAAGTTGAATCTAGTTTAAACTACTTATCAACTAAATTATTCTTACCCATTGCATTGCTGTTCATTAAGAAGACACCAAATGACTTTCCAGAAGTATCTTCAATGCACGTGAAGAATGTCTGATGGCCATATAAATTATTATTATTCTATAAGAAAAAATGAAAATTAAAATACAAAAATATATTTAAAACGTAGAAGACTATGTATGCCAAATATGAAATATTATACAACAAAAATCATCTAAACTACTGTTCTAGGAATATAGTATTTATTTGTATTAACATATAGTATAAGTAGTCTACTATTAATAGATTATTTGCATTGATTTTAATGTCTACCCAGGCTAGGGCAATGCCACGGTAATCCATTATTCCCCATGCAAAGCCAAGCTACAGCTGTAAA